TTGCTTGATCGTATGCTACAGAAAAATCCCTCTTTCGACGCGGCACTCTGCTTTGCCTTGAAGGGGCTCTGGCGGAACTTGGGGAGGGCAGGGGAGGGGCAGGAGACCTCCTTGGTCAAGTTCACACGTGACGGCGCCCCCCCCCCCGCGAGCCGAGGCTCTGCTGCTTGAACGTTTGCCCGCGTTCGGGGAGGCTGACGTTGCTCTAGACGGCCGAGGCGGCGGGGCCACGTCTGCACTCGTGGAGTGCGAGGAAGGACTCCGCGGCCTGGCGGAACTTGGGGAGGGCAGGGGAGGGGCAGGAGACCTCCTTGGTCAAGTTCACACGTGACGGCGCCCCCCCCCCCGCGAGCCGAGGCTCTGCTGCTTGAACGTTTGCCCGCGTTCGGGGAGGCTGACGTTGCTCTAGACGGCCGAGGCGGCGGGGCCACGTCTGCACTCGTGGAGTGCGAGGAAGGACTCCGCGGCCTCGTCCCTCAGCCCCGTCCGATTTTCTGCCCCCCCCCCGGCCTCCCTGCGACTCGACGTGGGGACTTATCTCCGTTTTTTAGGCGCTCTGGTTGGCGGTAGGGAAGCGGGCCGTGGTCGGCTTCCGCGGGGAAGACCGGAGAAAGCTTTGCGAGCAGGTTTACAGCTATTTCTGGCGCAGTTCCTTTTTTTAAATGAGGGGCATGTCAGGCGAAAGACCTTTAGGTGAAGAAGATGTTTCCGGCATAAGAGACCGATGCTGGGAAATGCTTGCTTTTCTCTCTCAGAGGGACTTTCCGCCTAAAGACTTTTCGGGGCGTTGTTAAGAGGTTTCTGTGCCCATCCTTCACTAGAAGCAGAAGTTCCAAGACCTCCCTCCCACCTGGAGGAAGGTGAATTTCCTGCCGTTTTCTTTTCTTTTCACCCTGTATCTTCTTTGTGACTTGGAATAGCATTCTGAAGCGGTGTACAGTACCTGTTGATGGCATTTGAGAGAAGGCAAGCAAGCTGTTGTAAAGTGCCTGCTTGCGCACACTCTGTGTCTACCTCTGTGTCTGGGGTTTTAGCCAGAAGGCGAAAGTCCATGGTAGGGCCAGACTACTATGTTCTGAAGCCAAAGGGCCATTGCAGTTTCCCAAGGAGGAATGAGAAGGCATAGAGGTGGATTTCTAAGGCTCTCTCTCTCTCTCTCTCTCTCTCTCTCTCTCTCTCTCTCTGTGTGTGTGTGTGTGTGTGTGTGTGTGCGTGTTTCAGGTCTTAACTGCACATGACAATCACATGTATATTTGAAGAAATGTTGCTTAATGCTGTTACTTTAGGAAAAAACAACTCCTTGGAGAAGAAAGAATGGGAAGTGAATAGCAATCTCTCTGCTTTCCACAATCCCTTACTAAGGGAAGAGACTTCTACCCCACCCCACCCCTTGTGGCTGCTTCTCCTCTGAGCTTGCCACTTCTGCAGCTGTGCAAGGAAATGTATGAGCAACAGATGGCAGTGGCTGGTCCTGCTGTCTTGGCTCAGTCTCTTTGGATGCCATGGCAGAGAGGATCAGGCACACAGTGCTGCTGAAGGTTATTTGAGCAGCTACCTCTGCATGCTTGCTCAGCCCTACTGCTCTTTGGGCAAAGCTTCAGAGCCGGTTGGGGCACTGAGACAGCCGTGACCTCAGCTCTCTTGCCCGTTGTCCTCTCTAGGTGGCATGGTGCTGGGGATTAGACTAAGTAGCCCAGTTCTCCACATGAACAGCCTTCAGTCTTTGGTTTTCCAGACATCTGAGACTCCATCTCCCAGAATTGCTGACCTTTGGCCATGTGGAGCGTGAGAACCCACCAGCCATTGAGAGAAACGAAGCACTGTAGCTGACTAAGACACTTCCTTGTGTTGACTGGATCACAACAGCTTCAATGTGCTGCCAGGTCTCTAACACAGAGCCGTTATAGGCAGGCAAACTCTGAATAAACTAAGCACTCCTTTCAAAATACAACATGCATCTGAAACTCACCTGTTTTCCTCACGAGTTAGCAAGTAGGGCTCAGTCTTAGCCAAACCTGCAATGTATCAGTAGGGAAAATTTAAATGTCCTCCTGACCTGAATTTTTCTAGGTTTACCTCTGGAAATTGTGGCATTAGATAATCTCCACTGTCACCAATGGATTCGATTCCCATTCTCTGGAAGAAACTGGCCACGGAGACTGCTGAGTCCACCTTCTGCTCATAGGCAGATTTCTGATTTTGTGCTCTGACTGCCTTTGTCTTTTGTAGTAAATGATGCCAAGTGATAGTGCCTTGGCTTGATCTGAAGAACCCTGCACTCTGATATGTTGGGTGGCCAAAAATGCATGTTTAATGTGATCCGGGTACTTTAGTGTGTAGGTTCCTTCAAGCCTAGAATCAAAACATTTTGATATGATAATGCACTCCCATTATCCTTACACAGTATTTATGCTACTTGTACCCTATGCATGTTTCTTTTCTTCAGATATCTGACCCTTGTACATACTAGGCAATTGTTTGTCACTTCCTGTTAATCTTAAACTATCACGCTTCTAGGTCTATTTACATCTCCTTTTCATGTCCCTTTGTTTTGACATTTTGTACTTTGTGCTTGGGACCCAAATGTTTCTCAACACAATTCACTGTTGACTGCTGTACTCTTGTTTCATGCTTCTCATTCCTTGACTACCGTAGTCTCAGATATTTCTTTGCAGAGAACTCCAGTGTGTCACATGTAGAGCAGAGCTGAAGTGGAAACTAGTGGCTGGTTGTCCTGTTTTATAGCCAGCTTTGGTGCTATCCAATGCTGGGTGCTTCAGAGGAAAGCAACTGACCATTAGGCCTCTAAAAGTCACACCATGCAGGGTTTTCAACCAGTGGCAAACATTGGTGACTAAATACAGGTACTTCATGGCTGAACGTCTGTTTCTGGTAGCATCTTGGTGTGACGGACAGGTCAGTAACCACTCCTGTCCATCACAATGTTGTTTGTTTGTTCAGTCGTTTAGTCGTGTCCGACTCTTCGTGACCCCATGGACCAGAGCACGCCAGGCCCTCCTATCTTCCACCGCCTCCCGGAGTTGTGTCAAATTCATGTTGGTTGCTTCGATGACACTGTCCAACCAT